CAACATTCTATATATAATTATACATTTATCCTTTGACAGATTTATTTTGGATAAAGTATTTTCTATTATTTTAAAACTTTGCGGTTTTTCAGTACACACGGCTCCTTTATTATCTTTCTTTAGAAAGAAATTTCGACAATCGTTTCTAAATAAACAAGAGAATATTTTCCGATCTGCCTTGTCATAAACATTGGAGGCAGGAATGCGATGTTCGTGTGAATGGAATGTGTGATGGAAGTGCAGTAGAAATGCCTCTAATGTATGAACATATTTTCATTTGCACTGATATTTTTATTCCACAAATGTGTTGTGAAAGGATTGATTTCAAAGATATTGCGAATAGAGTAAAATATAACTAAAGCCATGGTAGGAACCTACCACACACATCATTTACCTTAGTGCACACATTACACATATAGAAGTGCCCAGGGAGAAAACAACGAAACTTTGAAAATAACCCCTTAAGTCAATTTTGTGTGACAAACTTCGATATTTTGAATGGTTGTGCAGCAATAAGCACTCAAACGTTCATTTAAAAAAACACTTTTATTCAATAATTAGCATTTTGAAACGTGTAAACAATACAGACACACGTTTATTGTTTATTATTTTTCTAAAGAAATGTATATGTTTGTTCACAACATATATCATGATTCTTTTGTTATCGACGATACAATAGCGGCAGCATTCTTGGAATGTACACGGCGGATTGAAAGTCATCATACTTTTATTGGGCCTCCAACAAAGATATTCTACATTTTGCGGTTTTGTATGCGAGTGGGACAGCAGACATCGGAAATATCATTTTGTGAAGAAGCACTGTCCTCAACATCTGTTTCCTGGACAGAAAATGGAACTTCGCAACCCCTTGTAATGCTTCACATGCATATCTACCTCCCTTGCACACCAAACTAGGATTGATAATAAAGTGGGCCAGGTTTCCCATACTTAAAGAAAAGTTTCCCGAGATTCAAAGAGGTAAAAATAAAGAAGGGTATATTTGTTAGATCACAAATGAAGAAACTTATGAAGGATCATGACTGAGGAAAGATTTAGCAGTATTGAAAATGCTGCATGAATGTCGCTTCAAAAGGTACAAATGGAATTCTTTGATAACAGAAAAGCTGAGACCTGTGAAGAACTAATGTTGGAACTCATTCACAATTGTAAAGCTCTGAGATGTAACATGCAAGGTTTAGCAAGTTTTATAATTTCATATATTTTGTTTCTTTTTAATTTGGGGTGTAGAACTTCCATAAAAGTAGCAGAATTTATCAGGTTGATTTTCACACGTTTGATATGAAATTACGATTTGCGCTTTATTAATTCATTAATTATCATTAAAATGGGAAAGAATATATACATCATTTTGCCCCATTCCCCTTGCACTTTTGTGAAAACAGCATTGAAATAACTTTAACCGTTCAAAAATTACAGAAGGTGCTACAGTTACGTAACAGCTTATACATGGTGTGGGCACAGATTGTGCCCACTCAGTAAACATAGGGTTAAGATGAACTGTTTCTGTTGACGTATTTTACATATGAAACAAATCACTATGCGTTGGAAGAAATATTTTGGAAGGGAGAAGGGTTGATTGAAATATGTGTAGAGGAGTTCAAATGTATATTTGTCACTTCTTCAAAACACATCAACTGTTCAACAAGAACAAATATATAATAGAACAAATAGTGAAACAAAATAAATTTTTGAAGCAATAAAAACTTTAGATTTTCTCACAATGCAAACAGTATGACGATTAAATAACATGTATTATATACATAAACACAATGCACGTTCAAAATTACAGCCATTCTAAATTACGCAGGTGTCCAGTCTACATTACAGTCACAATATAGAGGAAAGATAATTGAGTTTCTGCTTACACAGCCTTTTTGAGGAGGTGGGTTTTAAAAACAATCTTTTAGCGCCTTTTCTGAATTTTTTTATTAATCATACGTCGAGTCACTGTGAAAGCAAGAAATCACGAGAAATATGTGACGTTGCACATCAATTCCTCCGTTATGTAAATATATTTTTTACATCTGTAACAGCAGTAATAGCTGTTCTAGCTAGAACTAGCAGTAATATTTTCAAGAAATAATTATATTAGTTGTCATTTTCAACAATATTATTTATTTCAATAGCAGCTTTTTTTTCTTAATTTCTTGAGTCTATTTACGCAACACATCTTCTAACTGCTAAGAGCGTTGAGCGCATCTAGTAGCCACAAACAACAGTAGTCGTTTTGTGGCTTCCATACAGCAGAGAACTGATGATGATGGCTAAGACATTGAAAGCTGCTTTTGAAATAAATAATATTCTTGCCAATGGCAACTTCTATAATTATTTTATCTTAAATGCCAACGACAACTCACCGCAAAACCAATACACTCGTACTTTCAAGAGTTGGTTGGCAATATCAGTCTGCAAAAGGAAGGGGAGATTCAACAATGACTATTTTGTTCACGTTATGAGTTACCAATCCCAAGTAAGAAATCATTTCAATTTCAATATATCACAGGCTATTTAGATATAACACTAAAGCACAACTACTGACAATGTCTTGACTAGTTACAAACTTTTCTTCTGAGGATTTATGTACATCGTTATATAGAACTTCGAGAAAAGGTACAGCATATATCCAGATTCAAAAAGAACCAGTATTGTAGGAACAATTTCGTACTGGCAATTTGAAATGAAGAACACACCGCCAACGTAGAATAAAAGGGCGAGGAATTGTAACTGGAAAAAGACAAATACATATCGTTAACTGAATGAAATATGACAAAAAATTGATATAATTCTTATAATATTAATTTTCGATATTATTGGTGAAAGAAAAAAAAACAAGTAACCAGTTACATATTTTTTAAAATTCTGTAGTGTGTTAATTAATACATTAATTAATGTACATGCATATACAGTTATCCAAAGCTCCGGTTACAAAAACACACACACACCAAAATAAGATTTTGGTGTTGATTTTTACTCGAAGAACCCCGCAGCGATCCAGATTTTTCTGGCAAAATATTTTTTATCAGAAAACTAACCACCCCCACCAAACAACCACCACCCCCCACCAAATACAACCCCACCCGACCCAATAAACCCACACACAACACCCACCTACCCCCCCAACCAAACACCCCCACCACACACTGTAAACGTTATCATATCAAGCGAGAATTCAATTCAGACAGCCGCACCATACCAGCAGGCGGCGCCTGCAGAATGGCTTGGTCGTAGCGTGTTTCTCCGATATTTTCACAGTCAAAACTCATTCTCAATAAAATGTAAACAAGCATAACGCGCATAGACGGTTAAGATTAACATAAGTGACAGGACTGAAGTATCTCGCAATGTCTTACATTAACGTGAACAAAATAAGAGTTTCTATTGGTTGTGAGACATTCTAGTTTACAATAGGTTGGATGTGAGAATCGATTTCGAGGTATCCTGTGTCCATGGCCAAATGGCGTTAGTTCGTCAATCGACTTCGCTCCTCTTTCGATTGTCGATTTTGAGTTTACCAAGCAAGCTTTTACGTTAACGTCTTACATGTTATGCTTATGCGAAAGCATTGTAAATGAGTCCGCTTATGGACGTAGTCATAACTTTTACGTTAACGCCATGCTTTTGTTTATGTTTGCATTGTGAATGGGCCTTAACACTGTCAAGAGAATAAAACAACGCTTTCTCCTCACTAGAGTACTGTAATGTTCTCAAGTGTTTTACGTGTAGTACTATTCATTTGACCTATTAAATCTATTGACAATGTATATTAGCTGTAAATTACAATCGCGGTATATAGCGACATAACACTGAACGCTGAACATGATCCAATCCTTAGAGAAATTAACAAAACTCTTGGAATTTGGCAGGAAATGGAACGGACTCGTCCGGACAGAATATTGCAAAAAAACTAACAACAACAACAATAACAACACACACACACACAAAAGGAATATGGCAGTGACATTGAATTGTAATGCGGGTAATTAAATGAATATGTACCCGATTCCAATGGCACACGTTCACCAGGTGGTAAAGTGCATTGGATGGGTTTGAACGTACGAGGCGATTTCTTTCAGTGTGCAGTATATAAAACTGTGATCAAGAACTAATGTTAAAGTGTAATAACTCGAAACTGATACTTTAAGTTATAACAAGTGATTAATATTGAACTGTTCTCAACACGGAACATATTGGTGAAGTACGCGGTGCATGATAAGAAGACACGAGTGCTGAACTGGAACGTAATGGCTATAATTTTATAGACACCTGGAATTGGTTATATTTGAATATATTCTTGCTTAGCATTTGTTACTTACTACACGGACAGATATGACTGAAGTAGTCATTGTAATTTTTTCTCCCCACCGCCACACAAAATCAAGAGGGTCACCAATCGAAATAAAGTTATGTAATCTAACCTAGTGTAGCTGTATTTTGCAATTTAAGTTTGCATGACTGACGTTATAACCCCAAACGCACTAAAGCTATCGAACTGAGTAGTTAAAAAACGACTGAATTGTACCACCAGACACCATTAGCATCCAATTTTACCGCGATTTATTGGGTATTTTTAATTTTGTAATGAACATGGAGTAGCCCTTTCCGATATATCTTTTTTCGGCCGTATCTTTAACTCATAAGTATATTGCAAACATTCCAAGTTTCTATTTTCCCCCAATTGCTGAAACTTCACAAAATAATAGTAGGATACATGACATTATGTTACAGATCTTACACATATTTAATTGCTTTTTATAATACTTTGACATATGATTTCAAAAACAAATTTCAATTGCCTGAGTTTGTGAAATTCGCAGAAATTAATTTTATTGTAAAACACAAAAAACATATTTTAAATATAAAAAACAATTTACCACAATTTAATAATGGGTATTAGTATTGTCTTATCCTAAGATGCAAGATTATTCTTAGAACTAGAAAAGAAAACTTCATAAAATTAGAATATGTCTTACAAGTTGTATCTGCGTAATATACTTCTTCAGTCGCATAAATTTCTTGATTTTTAAAAGAGACATAGTGTAGTACGTGTGCATGAGGATGTGGACTGCAGAATTTAGTAAACCAGATACTACCGGATTTCCTCCTGAAATTGAAAAAGACCACAAACATATTAATATAATTTACTCTCCCTCCTATATTCTATACGCATTCACAGGCTGAGTCATGTCAGATATAAATAAAATCACCACAGTCTCCTCCTCAATTAAAGTGTTTCTAATGGCATATTGTTGCGAAGTACTTTCTTTCCGCACAGCACTTTCTCAACGATTTTTATTTTACTATAATCTTCAGAAAGTTCTGCTTATAGTCGGTTATAGCTCTCAAGATAATTCCTAGAATTTACGAACACAATTTGTGAATTTATGGAATTGGAGCAAGATGTGACAGTTCGGAAAAGCGCGCCACCCTGCAATTCCGTCCGACATTAGGTCTTCAAAACCCTAGCCTCTCAGCCGGCCTTCAGATTTGCAGTGCATATGCTGATGCAAATGACGTTGACCTACAAATGAGTAACCTACCGAGTGTACAACAGAACTCTGAATCTTGAAATAATGAAATTTAAAAAAATTCAAATAACAATTTCTATAGAAATCACAGCTTCTGCGAAACTGTGAATTATGAATGAAGAATAAATTATTTATTTCTAGTAATTGATCTAGGAATACGTATTGTATTCCCAGATCAATGTAACACATATCATGATCGAAAGATCAATAATAAAACTAAAGAAATTCGAAGTTCTGCGACCCAGTAAACGTCAAAGGAGAGCAAAGAATAGTCGCCGCCAACCCAGCACAGGTTACGAAAGCAGAAAGGCCACGAAAATGCGAGGTGGCCGGCAGTAACTACAGCTCCTTAGATGATCGGAGTTGAAAAACGTGAAGAACGAACAAGACAGAACAATAATCACGACAGAGCAAGACCAGAGAAGTAAGACACAAGCAAATGCCACCGCCAAGAAACTGTCAAAGCCGCCAAGCCCACAAAAGAGCACTCTTCTACCTTAAGTGTAGGTTATGGCGGGTGAGATGCGAGCCCTTTTATGAACGCAATATACTAGGGAGGAAATCGGAGGAAAACATTTCACACACATTTCTATCTTTGAAATTTACGAATTTCTTTACTTTAATTATTAATCTTCGATCTTGAAGTGTTACTGTGAGGTATATTCCGAGTGATGTATATTCCGAGAGAAATTACGTGACACATGATACACATGACACAGATAATGACACTCCGTCAAGATAGACGAAGCTTCCGCAATAAATTCGAAACCCAAAGAGTAAGCGACAGTTCGAGAACTCGGACGCTCCTTGAGGGTTAAGTAGGTCACGCTGCATAAGCGCACACGTGAAGCCGGAATTTAGATGACCAATATGAAATGGGATACCATTCAAGCCTAGAATTTTAACATTCATTGAATGGAAGTGAAATGGAAACCTCGAAATTCTCGGAGTAGGGAACCGAGGCCTGCTGAAAAGCCGTGGGAGCAGCAGAAGCTGAGCGTATGATGTGACATTTGACGCGTCTCGGTCTCCTGATGGGGAACTGATAATTTGTTATAGGATCTGGCCAGAAGATTCAAAGAAATTTCCAAGTATGTGTTTTTGCATGATATGGCGCTGCGAACTTAGGGAGTATGGCGAGAATTGAACCAACGCCACCCACGTTGTTTTATGTAGGTGGCGGTGATTCAATCCCAGTTCCCGAGAGGCATTTTTCACTCACAAAGCCATAATTTTCTTTCTTATTGACAACACTACTGTTAGAGCGAAGGCTTCCGCGGCCGGAGTCAGTATTTAATTGGCTGCCCGGGTGACGCCGCGTCCATGGCAAAAGTGACGACGTTTCGGTCGCCATTCTGCGACCTTCCTCCAGAACATTACGCCGTGAGGAAGGTCACAAAATGGCTACCAAAACGTCGTCACATTTGCCATAGACGTGGGGTCACCCGGACGGCCAATTAAATACCAACACTATTGTTGACATCTTTAAGAGAATAAGTTAATTTGAAAAAGTGATTCGAGTGTCATTTTCGCTTTATTCTTTTATCTGTAGACCTATTATCATATTAAAAAATATAATTTGTAAAAACCTATGAACAGTATCGTCTTTGAATTAGGTACAGAATGAGCAAAACGTTTGGGTTGGAGAATGAATAAACGTTCTTCCATTCGACTTCTCACTTTTAAGTTTCTAAGTGTACAAATACAAATTTTCAAATGAATGTGAGCCAGAAGTTATTCTTATTAATCTTTATTCACATAAACCTTCATTCACTTTCACATTTACACAACCTTATTCACATAAAAATACAAAACAGTCGCTTCTTAATGTTTATATATGTGCGCATACAAAACGATTAACAGAGCAATTGCAGAAGTAGAAGTGAACACAAATTAGACTGTGTTTGTGGAGATTAAAAATTTGGGGAGAAAAATGTGGAAGTGTTAAGCAAATCCGGAAAAAATGCAATTTAGTTCTAGAAGATTTTGCGAGAGAATTTTTGGAACTAATTGAGAATGATCTTATATTAGGATTAGAGAATAAACCAGAAGAACAGCTTACAGGTAATGTTTGTGCTTATTAGCAGAAATCGTAAAAAATGTAGCTGTACTAAACTCTATTCGCATCATCAACACCTTCACAGCGATTCACAGCGACAATATTTTTCACAGCGATTGTAACTTTGAAATTTTTATATTACCAGTTCATATCCCGTTTGGATATGTTCTTCGGGTGTTGGGAATCTTTGAGGGGGAGGTTAGCCTAACCAGCCAGCACGATTCAGTGATAACTCCAATCCCAGATATTAACACATTTGAACGAAGCTACGAATGAAAAACTCTCGCAGCATTAAAAAAAATTCAACACATGAAAATACTTTTAACTAAGTTTACAGCGTCGGTGACGCCACATTAACTTGTGAACAAGTAAACCATAAATTCATTAATTGCACTCACTTGTAAAGAAAGACGTTCACATTATGGCTAAGGTGTTGATTTGTCGCCAATTGATGTGAGATACCTTACTGCATATGATTATATATTTAACGTATAACTTCAGGATTACCCCCAGGATGTAGAATGCAAATAAACGCAGGCGGTGAATGCACAGATATACTTCTATAAATATTTTTTCAGCTTTAACTCTTTTACGTCTTCAGAACCATATACACTGATCTTCATACACATTTTGCAATTGATTCATGCAATATTTTGATCTCATAGTGTACTGAGACTTCAAAGGAGAAATGATACAAACCTGGATAGTATTTGGTGCCATACCACGATCCAGAGCTCACGGATATGTGATGAAACAAGTGCAAGTACGTTACTTGGTTAAATTTCTTTCGCAAAATAAAGAAAACAGTTTCCAACAGATCAAACTGCTTGTTTAAGTAATAAAAGTAGGACCCATTATAAATCTGAAAAAAGGGACATCATATTAATGTATTAAAGGCTGATAATTACTCTCGAGAAACAACTTTGACACTTTTATGAAGACAATGTAACGAATTGAATTCCAAAACTTTTTACATTTCCTTCGAATATCTCTAAAAACTTAAAAACGATTTCAAGATGGCGGAAAGAAGTAGAACCATGGCACAACGCACCGGAGAAAATGTGAACGAACTTGTGGAAGCACATTCTGCCAGGGATTTAGAAAGAACAGAAACTAATACTGAGAAGGTAAATCATCAAATTGATGGAATTTTAAGCCTAGAGGGAAATTTACAGGATGAAGTAGAACAGGGGAATAATAATAAAAATGTTAATGATAATGTTAACGTTGGAACTTATAAGGGTAATAATAGTGGTATTAATGAAAATATGTTTAAATTATTATTAAGTTGCAAAAATTGGACCACGACTTGAATGAAAAGTTAAAATGATTGAAATGATAGATAAACATTTTCATGACTTAAATGGCGATGTAAATTAAAATTTTCTCAATTTAGAAAAAAAGTAACAGAAATTAGAGAAAATGGTCGACATTTAAGTGAAGAATTAGATCGTATATTTTTTTAATCTGAAGTAGTAAATGATTAATTACGTGATGTGAATCAAGAAATATAAGATAATCAGTAAATTTTTAAAAACGCCATTTACATTTTAACGGAAACAGTGGTTACAGATGTTGATTTAACTACGAAAAGACTGAATGAACTTGAAAGTGGTGTCCACTAAAATACAATGATAGTAAAATACTCGTAGATCAAAAAGTCGGGAAAATTCAACGGCAAATACGGCAGATCACTGAAAATGACATTAGAAAATTTGACGAACAATTAGGAAATTTAGCCGTCGGAAAGGTTTTGAAAATGAATTTGTTATTCGAAAAGATAGTAATAAATCTTTGAATTACACAAATATTGTTATTCGGAGAGTTGCGGTATTAATATTGTGTGGAGAATTAATGACGGAATTGGAAATTATTAGAATGTATACTAAGCAATTATCTTATGTTTTTAAATGTATATTCATTTTGAGATTTATGTATTACTCCATACACGTATGGAAGTAGTGTGCCAACCAAAGAGTTTCAAGGAAAAGCAATCCATTTCCCGGTAATGATGGATCTTTTGAAAAAACATTACTCTTAAAAAACATTACACTAATATAATTAGCAATACAAATTCTAAACAATGCTTACGTGTGGAAGGTTATACCTGGTATGTCTTTTGACTTTTTTGCGCAACTAAATGCAACACAAGTGGGAATCGTCAATTATACTTTCAATACACCAGCCCCTATATATAGACAATGACTCTATCACAAGACAAGCTCTTCTAAATGTATACGAAATAAAATTCAGCAATTCGTCGCACACCTAAGCAGCATGCAGCAGAGCCGTATTGAGTTGTACCAATATGGCCGCCGCGCGAACTCATTGGCGTCATTGGAAACTTCTTTGGGTAACTCTATGTATAGTACTCTTTGGTGCTAACCTATTCTAGGCTAGTGCCAACCGAACCCACAAGTGGGGTTGGTTGCACGTCTACTTAATGACTTTTAATAACTTTTAACTTTTAAATATACAGTAAAATATTTCTAATTATTTCTAAAATTTGTTACAGGAACTTCAAGTCATAATATTGTGTCTTATTAAATTTGTATTAGAAATGAAATTATAGCTTCAAACATAATTTTCTCAATTAATAGAAATCCAAAATCCAATATAATCCCTTTCTACACAGACCATCTCATTATAAACTGAAGTAAACATAATAATAAATAGAAAAAAATCACTAACAAATGTGGATAATTACTCCTCAAGACCTTAAGATTAATAAAAGTAAAATAGGTATTTCTTCAATACCAAAGTAGACTAATCAATACACTACTACAATCTCTTGTATGAAAAATGTCAAAATTCCCGATCAAATTCGCTATTTGCTGAGAAAACTTACCTGGATTCCAACGTAGTCTTTACTGTTATCCATGTATGGAAGACATAAAAATTTGTACTTCTCTACGTTAATCAGACCCCATCCCTATAACAGAAAAATGTCACTACATACATGCCATTAAACGTAAACCACATTTCTGAAACGTAGGAGAAAAAATAATTTTCTCAATCTTTTCTACAATTTTTTGGTTATTTGTTTTTAAAAAAGAAATAAAATTAGTTACCTATTATATTTTAGCTTCTTACATACAAATTATGTAGTGAAATGTTTTTTAATGTTGCACCAAAAAAATTGGCATTTTTTCAACAGAAACACTTGTATTAAGAATTAATTTTACCTAAAACAATGTTCTTAAAATACACGTTTGGTTAGTCTCTGATACAGAAAAATTGGCTGACGGCAAAACTGTCTGTATGCATCGCTAGAACCCAAATCGTTCAATCAATTTTCTCAAAAATTGATTTTGTGACGTACAGGGCCAGTCGTTGTACCCCGACCTCATTTTGAAACGCGTTCTTTTAATAAAACGCAGGTTTTGTAAGGCAGAAGGCTGTCTTCTCGTTGCTTCTAGAGAAATTAGTCATAATGGGAGCCCACGCCTGATCAAACAAAGAGTCATCAGCTCACTGGAGACCCGACCACGTGCCGCAAACCTCCCAGCCACTCTCCACCCCCCACCCTCCACCTTCCACGCTCGTGCCCACGCGTCCCCCGGGAGAAAACGTATCTTTTTACTCGTAAATCCGTACACTATCCGGGGCCTCGAAACACCATCATCTGTGTCAGATGCACACGTAAGCTTTCGCGGCTCGATTCTATAAATTCTCGGCTATCCGGGAGATGCAGTAAGGAAGCCTGCAACATATCAGGCGAAACGTCGGCCTCTCAGCCAACGACGCGGCGTCTAAAGGAAAGCCAAGAACCTTATAGCCTTAAACTTTATAGCCGTAAAGACAGACGCCTCTTGCTGGACACCAGGAGCGCTAATGTCAAATGAATGACTTTATTTCCTATTAGAGCTTCGCATCTGTTGTATTAAACTGTGATAATATTCATGCGCTGTGGAGCGGTATAGTCTACCTAAGTTTATTTCTCGTAAAACAGCATATCAATTTCAAAATTTTGTGAACATGAAATTGTAGTTTCCTTGTTTTTACATTTATTTTTCCTGAACAGAATGCGGCACACATCTAAACAAAAGTGACAGTCGAGAGGGACAACGTAAATGGAAGGAAATGACGGAGAGAGCTTCCAATTTTTGTTATTTCTGATCAATAAAACAGAGGAATCAATGCGTTTTTTATTTGTTTGGTTTGATTGGGTCTTTTTTTATTTGTTGGGTCTACATTGACACAAAGCGTCTCCAAACACCTAAACGTGCGTTGAGCACTTGCACTATGAAGTAATCATCCCTTAGCATATTAGTTACATTTGTCTGTTCAGTGTCGTCCGAGTCTGTTGTCAAGAGGACCGCCAGGTAGCATCTCCGCGTACGCGACTCTCACCACGCGCTCCTGCGTCACTATCCAGCGGCCAGAATTGGGAAGGAATAAGGCTAGGGATAGATGACGTAGGCAAACTAGTTTTGTTGGAACAACTTTCACTTGATCTTGTCCGGGAATCGAACCCGGACCTCCTTGGTGAAAGGCGATCGACTGCAAGTGTCCTGTTTGTAAACAAGGTACAGCTGTTGAATTGAACTACAAAGGTTTTCATACATGAACAATATGCTTCGTTCTTCACTTTTGTCGAAGCGCTTCTTAGAGTTGTTTCATTACGTTGTAGGACATGAGATAAAATTTCAAAATAAATAGTACTTACATGTCCTGAGGCGTAGATTGCTACTATATACGTATTCCAACAAATTTGTATAATGTTGTACGCCAATACGATGCGATCAATGTTGTAGGGCTTCCTGTGTTCCATAAACTTCGGCCCGAACACTTTCACGAAATATAGGTATGCTCCCAGAATACCAAGCGTTATCCAAGGCGTGCCTAGGAATAAGTCGTTCCTTGCAGGAGGAACTGAAACAAAATGTAGCAGCAGGAAGATATGAAAGAGAATGAAGCAGCAAGACAATACGAATGCATAGAGTAATGATATATACCTCCCTAGTCTATGATGAAGGACAAAGAAGCAACAGGAGAGTATGAAAGATAATGAAGCAGTTGGAGAATATAAACTCGCACAATCGATCATTTGAGAGTATCTCAGAAACAATGGTTATCGCCTTTTCGATAAATTGCTTAAAAATGTTTCGAATGATTTTCTTGTTATGCTACTCAACTTTCACCATACAAATATAGCAATAATGTACATGATTTGTTCGCTCTCGCAACTTCATCGGCATTCCAAAAAGTAAAGACTTATGCTCCTCCGAGTCCATTTTCTTAAACTTTAAACACAAGTACGGCACAAGTGTGTGACGCAAATCTTTTGTCTTGGACTGCTAACCTGACACCAGAATCAGCTAAATACGTTCTTCCCACGAATAGGTTATGCTCTCACTTCTTCGTTTCAAAGTTCATGATCTAACAACATGGAAACAAAAACTGATGGAATTATTTACGCACCTAATTGTCTTGACGAGGTTGCCCTTTGTAAACTGGCTTTACGAAAGAATCCAAAACTGCTGCAGGGCTTCCGTGTAAACAAAGGCATTGAGAAATATCAACCTTCTCACAAGTGACCGTTTTAAATTGCTCTGTATATCTTATTTCGACCGCTGCATAATGTTACGCACGAAATTTTTAAAAAAGCAACGAACATTACGTGTTTGTGGAAAATCTGTGAGTGTTACAGCAAATAACGCAACTATAATCATAATAATCATTAAAACATTTGAAAATACCCAATTTCAAGCAAAAATTGAAAATGATATTACTCTGTGTTATTAGTGGTAAGAGACGTTGTAGCCTTCGGTGTGCAAGTAAAAATATTCAAATACAATAAGTTTTATTCAATAAGAATGCGAAAAAGTGCGAAATAGAGCTAGTGAATTTTCACTACCTTAATGAAAATGTCGTGGATACGTATTTTTATCGTTAAGTTATATGAAACGTAAAGTAAACGATAAGAACTTCAGTTTAAAAATATTATTGTTCGTAAGAACCAACCCCTTGATAGAAGTATTCGACACGCAATTTACTTTTGTAAAATCTTGTTAACAGTGTCTCTTATTTCTCACTAATCCAGTAAATAACGCAACTATTGGTGCTACAAAATGGCACAGACTTTCACGTATTAGTTTTTTTATTTCCTTTCGTTTCGGCCAGCTACTCGGACTTGCCACATACTCTTGCCAGCTGCCATCTATCGCCGCCCAAACTACATTTGTTTGACATTTTCTTAATTTGTAGTTTTCCTATTCGTAGCTTTCCTAATTGTAGAGCACAAACATATTTTCAAGTCTATTAAAGAACAGTAAAATCGAATACTAAATGGCAATTTTCTTTGAAACATTTGGAGCCGTTTTTAAGAAAATGGCGTTTAAGCGCCTATGTAAATGCGAAATTTGAACCTCTTTTCACTGAAAACTATCGAGTTTCCGAAAAACCTCATACGAAATCATTTTAAACACTTCCAATCGCAAATGAAAAAATGTTTACAAATCGCTGAAATGTGCATACTAACGCCGTAAGAAATCTTTAAAAAAATACTTTTTTGTAATTTTTGAAAAAGCAAAAAAATACCCCGAAATTAAATTTACGTCAAATTAAAGAGTGCAATTAGCACTATCTATTTGACAAATTTTAATCACAATTTGGAGCCGTTTCTGAGAAAATGGCGTTTGAGCGTTTCTGAAAGTGCGGAATTTGAGCTAGTTTTCACAGAAAACAGTTGAGTTTTCGATCATGTTTATTAGTTATTATTTAAAACACACGTACTCATAAATGTAATAATGTGAACAAATCGACGCTGGAATAAATATTATTAATGTGAGAGACAAGTCAAAAAAATTAAAATTTTTGTAATTTTTGAAAAAACAAAAGAACAGAGCAATATGGCGTCTACGTCATTACATTTAGCACTATCCCTACCAAATGTTTAAAGAAAAAAAATCGAATACTGTTTTGACCTTAGGTGTTCGAAACTTCTTGATTAGGTGATTGAAACTTTTTGAATGTGTTCTGAGGGTAACAAAAAGAGGCTTAGATGTTTTTGTTAGAATTTAACTTAATTATTTTGGAATTTATGCCGCATGAGTGTTTCCGAAAAATTGCGCGCACCACAAATAAAAATACTTATTTCTCCTACCACATTGATCGTACAGGTCTTAGAATAGTCTCAAATAAAGGCTCAAACTCAGTTATTTAAGATTATTTATAGTTGGATTTAATTTTTAAATATCAATAATTCATTAAATCTCTATTATTTATAAAAATTATTTTTCAAATTTCGCTAAAATTAAATTTCGTTTTAACAATAATACTGTATTCTCAGTTTAATGAACTGCAAGTGTTCATACTTTCAAATTGAGATATTTATAAATAAAGTAATTAAAAAAATATAAGATCGGAATAATCCTCTAGTCCGCATAATCTTATAACATTTTTAAATGTATAGGTGCGTCTACAGATTATTTTTAAACCTGTAGCTTTGGAATATTTTTTTCCGATTGTTACTGGTAACTGGCTCAGAAAAGCAAAGCCCTCATTCTGTTATCGGCAGACCCTTCGCGGGCAATTCATACGGCTATACCAGACTTAAACAGAGAGGCCTTTCTTCGAAGTCCAGATGAGCGCCCTCGCCAAGGTTTCTGCCACTGTATTTGTTTAACTTTTTGTGAGTTCGGTCCCACTGCAGCCACGTCAGGACGAGAGACATACTGTGCTGTCCACCAGATCCAAGTTTATTTGTTATAGTAGGCTAGGTTTATGTGCAGCAAATGTGAACCGTGTTTACTGCAGGTTTTACATAATGTAGGCAAGAAGATTTATTATTTCTACAGGTAGGTACCTGGTGGAAGAACACTACAATTATACTACAATCAAACTAAATCATTTTATGACAATAATACTATGATAACAATAAAGACAATAATAGCAATAACTCTACAATTTATGACTGTCGTGCACAGATATTTCAACCAATAAATACACTTTTTAATACACTGCACTCCTCTCTACTTCACTTCACTACACTTGCACTTCATTTTTCTTTCTACTTCTCTATAATTTCTAATTTTGTTTCTCTCTAAATTTGTGTTAGAATGTTAACACATGAGTAATATCAAACACCCAAGACATGACTTTAATTTTAATGCATTCAACCTCAAAAATCACTGTGATATGCTAAGAAGAAAAATTAATGCGTGTGACTTCCTATTCCACCGGCATTCAAAATTCAGTTCAAGGAACACATTTGAACAAAGAATCAGGTCACATTTCACTCCTTTGTTATATAAATCAAATATAATAGTCATCTAAGGCACAAACGTGTAATAACAACTTCCGAAAGCCTGAAGCGTGGTACTAATTCAGTTCTCCTGTTCCAGAAACATTTGACTGAATTTATAAAAGTTGAAGTACGTAATGTCAAAAAATTAAAATATTTTTCAGATGCAGTAAGTGCGCAATATAAAAACAGAAAAAGTTTCTTATTTTATTTTTTCACTCAAAAGGTTTTGATGTGAATTCTGAATGGCGTAGCTGGCTATTTCTCGTGGGAAAGGGTCTAGTAATGAAATTGGAAATATCACCAAAGATTGGCTAGGCGAGAAAATCTGCAGCCATTTCATGATCCAATTATGGCACCACAGAAATTATTCGAGAAGGCAAAAAATGTTAGTGGTATTCACTATATATTTTTGACAATTGATGACTAGAAAAAAAGAATTTGACTTATTGAAATCCCGGTATGTAAAAGTGAAACTAGTTATACAAAAATACACATTTGTAGGTCTATTATTTTATTAACTTTTGTAAAATGTAGATGAATGAATGAATGAATATGAATTTCAGCTACTACTTCTACAATTTCAACTACTCATTCCCAACATTCTCATTTTGATGACTGAGAGCACTTGACTTCATAAAGACGCGCATCTGAATGACTCTCATGTCTGAGATTTGATTAATTTATTGCAACTGTACTTATGCATATCCCATTATGAAATTTTGCACAATCACACAATTAGAGGTAGGACTTTTGTGATATTTTTATATTTAAAAAACAATTTGCGAAATTAATAAAAATAGTATTTAAAGTTGAAAAGCTACGAAAAATAAACAATTTGAATGTTGCTATAATGTTCGTTCAAATATATTAAAAAGTCGTGTTATAATCTATAAAGTAAGGCTAGTATGAATTCTTTAGTGTTTTTAATAAAGGTGATGTGAGCATTTATATATGACAGTACGCACGCTTTTTAATTGCGAATTACTCCGAAGGTATACGACTTTAATGAAAATAGAAAAAACACATGAGAGTTGTTTTTGCTATTAGAATTGATACACAAAGTTTCAAAACATCAGAAATATGATGGTCACTTTTTCGTTGAAGTCGTTCGATTTGACGTGGAAAGACTCTGTTTTTGTTCCCTTAATAGTAGAAAGTGTAATGACTCTAAGAATATTATAGAAAAGTAAAATGTGACTCTATGAACATTTTAATTGAAAAAATTGGCGACTTTCTTGAGAAAATGTCGTTTGAACATTTCTGCAAATACGCAATTTTAAGTTCATTTTCACTGGACATTTTTGAATTTTTGAGAAATTTCATCAAAAATCAATTGATTCTACACTCTAGTGCATATTATAAACACCGGCACCGAATGAAAATAGTAAAGAGGTGAAATACTTAAAAAAAATTCATCTGTGAATTTTTTGAAGAAAAAAAGGCATGTATGTGTTTACTTACTTTTATTTGCATTCTTAAGTTTGATAAATATTAAAGAATGTAAAATTCTTAACACATATTAATATTTCGATAGACATTTTAATGAAAGTGTGACAATTTTTTGACAAATCATATTTATTACAGAATTTGGCTTAAAACAATTCTTCCAGATTGTATCTATTAT